AAGGAACACTTACATATTCGTTGTACAAGGCCACTTTTACCCTGATACCAAAACCAGGCAAAGACATCACACACACAAAATTTCACACCAATATCTTTGATAACTATAGATGTAAAAACCCTCAGCAAAATATTGGCAAACCAAATCCAATAACACATAAACATAATCATACACCATAATTAAGTTGGATTTATTCCAGGGATGAAAAGATGGTTCAATATTTGCAAATTAATCAATGTGATATATCACATTAACAAAAGGAAGGAAAAAAATCACATGATCATCTCAATAGATGCAGAAAAAGCATTTGACAAAATTCAAAATCCATTCATGATAGAACTCTCACCCCAGTGGGTATAGAGGGAATATATCTCAACATAATTAAGGCCATTATGACGAATCCACAGGCAACATCATACTCAGTGGTGAAAAGCTGAAAGCCTTTCTTCTAAAATCAAGAATGAGACATGGATACTCATTCTTGCTACTTCTATTTAACATATTGTTGGAAGTCCTAGCCATAGCACTAAGAAAATAAAAAGAAATAAAAGGCATCCAAATTAGAAGGGAAGTAATAAAACTGTCACAAATTGCAGGTGACATGAAACTATATATAGAAAACTCTAAAATTTCCACAAAACACTATTAGAACTAAGAAAGAATTTAGTAAAGTTGCAGGATACAAGATAAATGTACAGAAATCTGTTGCTTTCCTCTACACAAATGATGAGCTATCAGAAAAAGAAAGCAAGAAAATAATCCTGTTTAAAATTGCACTGAAGAAGAATAAAATAACTAGAAAATTACCTAACCAAGGAGGTGAAAGACCTATACTCTGAAAACTATAAAACCTTGATGAAAGAAACTGAAGATGATACAGTGAAATGGGAAGATATCTGTTGTTCATGGGTTGAAAAAGTTAATATGGTTTAAAATGTCCATAGTATTTGAAGCAATCTATAGGTTTAATGCAATCTCTATCAAGCATCCAGGATATCTTTCACAGAACTAGAATAATCCTAAATTTTGTATGGAACCACAAAAGAACCAAAATTGCCAAAGCCATCTTGAGAAAAAAGAACAAAGTGGGAAGTATCATGCTACTTGACTTCAAACTATATTACAAAGCTACAATAATCAAACAGCATGGCACTGGCACAAAAACAGATATAAAGATAAATGGAACAGAAGAGAGAGCTCAGAAATAAACCCTTAGATTTATGATCAATTAATCTATAAGAAATGAATAAAGAATATACAATGAAGAAAAGACTATCTCTTTAATAAATGGTGCTGGGATCACTGGTCAGTTACATGCAAAAGAATAAAATTAGAACATTTTCTTATACCATATACAAAAAACTCAAAATTGATTAAAGATCTATAAACCTAGAAGAGAACATAAGCAGCATACTACTTTACATAAATTGTAGCAATATGTTTTTGGATATGCCTAAGACAAAAGAAACAAAAACAAAATTAGCAAGTGGGACCTAATTAAACTTGAAGGTTTTGACACAGCAAAGGAAACCATTGACAAAATGAAACAACATCCTACTGAATGAAAGAAAATATTCATATATGATATGACAGTATTAGGGGTTTATAGCCAAAATACATAAACAACTCATACAACTCAATATAAATAAAAACCTACAAAAATAGGCAAGTCTCCCAGAATAATAGAAATAAAAGCAAAAATAAACAAATTGGACCTACTTAAGCTCAGAAGCTTTTACACAGCAAAGGAAACAATAAACAAAATGAAAAGACAACCCACAGATTTGGAGAAAATATTTGCAAATGATGTGACTGATAAAGGATTAGTCTCCAAAATTTATGAACAGCTTATGACACTTAACAACATCAAAACAACCCAATCAGAAAAAGGGAAGAATAGATGTTTCTCCAAAGAAGACATACAGATGCAGAAGAGGCACATGAGAATATAGTCAACATCATTAATTACTGGGGAAATGCAAATAAAAACTACAATGAGATAACATCTCACACCAGCCAGAATTGCTATCATCAAAAAATCGACAAACGATAAATGCTGGAGAGGGTGTGGAGAGAAGGGAACCCTCTTATTGGTACAGCTACTATGGAGAACAGAATGGAGGTTCCTTTAAAAAAAAGCAAACTTAAAATAGAGCTACCATATAACCCTGCAATCACACTCCTGGGCATTTATCCAGAGAAAAACATGATCCAAAAGGATACACGTACCACAATGTGCATTGCAGCACTGTTTACAATAGCCAAGACATAGAAGCAACTTGAATGTCAGTTGACAGAGGAATGGATAAAGAAGATATGATACATATATACTATTTTGGAATATTAACCAGCCATTAAAAAGAACAAAATAATGCCATTTGCAGCAACATGGATGGACCTAGACAGTGTCATACTGAGTGAAGTAAGCCAGACAAGAGAAGGAGAAATATCATATGACATCCCTTATATATGGAATCTAAAAAGAAATGATACAAATGAACTTACTTACAAAACAGAAACAGACTCAACAGACTTCGAGATTGAATTCATGGTTTCCAGGAGGAAGGGTGGGGGGAAGAGACAGTGAGTTTGGGATGGACATGTGCACACTGGTATATTTAAAATGGATAACCAAAAAGGACCTACTGTATAGCACATGGAACTCTGCTCAATCTTCTGTGGCAGAGTTTGGAGAAGAATGGATACATGTATATGTATGGCTGAGACCCTTTGCTGTTCACCTGAAACTATCAAGCATTATTTGGACTACACCCAGTGCAAAATAAAAAATTTAAAGTAAAATGGGCAGAAGACCTGAATAAACGTTTTTCCAAAGAAGATATACAAACTGTCAAAAGGCTCAAGAAAAAGATGCTCAAAACTGCTAATCATTAGAGAGATGCAGATGAAAACCACAATGACATACCACCTCACACCTATCAGAATGACTATCATAAAAAAGACAATACATAGTAAACATTTGTGAGGATGCTGAGAAAAGGGAACCCAATTATACCATCGGTAGGAATATAAACTGGTACAGCCACTATGGAAAACAGTATGAAAATTCCTAAAAAAACTGAAAATAGAACTACCATATGATTTAGGAATTCCATTCCTAGGAATATATCTGAAGAAATGAAAACACTTATTTGAAAAGATCCATGTATCTCAATATTCTTAGCAGCATTATTTACAATGATCAAAATATGGAAGCACCCTAAATATCCATCAACAGATGAATGGATAAAGAAGATTTGGGGTATGTGTGTGTGTGTACACACAAAATAGGATATAACAGTCATAGAAAGAATGAAATTCTGCTATTTTCAAAAACGTGGATGGACCTAGAGGGTATTATTCATAGTGAAATAAGTAAAAATAGAAACACAAATACTGTTACCACTTATATGTAGAATCTAAAATATAATACAAAAGGATTAATACTAGAAAACAGAAATAGACTCAGATATTTAGAAAAAGCTGGTGGCTACAAGTGGGGAGAAGGAAGATGGGAAGGGCAAGGCAGGAATATGAGATTAAGAGATACAACCTACTATCTATAAAATAAGCAACAAAGTTATATTGCACAGCTAAATATAGCTATTATATTGTAATAACTTTAAACTTTGTGTGCATGTGTACTAAGTTGCCTCAGTCATGTCTGACTCTTTCCAATCCTAGAGACTATAGCCTGTCAGACTCCTCCATCCATGAAATTCTCCAGGCAAGAATATTGGAGTGGGTTTCCATGCTCTCCTTCAGGGGGGTCTCCCCTACCCAGGGATCGAACCCAGGTCTCCTGCATTGCAGGCAGATTCTATACCATCTGAGCCACCAGGGAAGCCCTAAATCAACTATGTGTTGAAAGTGTTAGTCACTCAGTTGTGTCTAACTCTTTGCGACTCCGTGGACTGTAGCCTGCCAGGATCCTCTGTCCATGTAATTCTTCAGGCAAGAATAGTGGAGTGGATTGTCATTCCCTTCTCCAGGGGATCTTCCTGACCCAGGGACTGAACGTAGGTCCCCTGTATCGCAGGCAGATTCTTTACTGTCTGAGCCACTAGGGGAGCCCTAAATCAACTAAAAAAAGGTTTAGACTTCCTGCCATGGTTTACCAGGTCCTTCCTGGCCTGACCCCTGATAACCTTTTCAACCTCATGTTTGGTTACTTTCCCTATATACCCACTCCCTGGTCCCTATGCCTTAACCATTATGAATGCATTTATGTTCTGTGAATATTCCATGCTCTCTTTCCTTTGTAACACATACTATTCCATCTGTCTGAAACAAGCTTCCTCTTTTCTTATTATCTGAATTAACTCCCTCTGGTCCTTGAATCACTTCTGAAATGACCTTCTGAGTTTTCCCTGATTTTCCCCAGACTGGGTTAGGTACGTGTATGCTAAGTTGCTTCAGTCATGTCTGACTCTTTGCGACACTATGGACTGCAACCCACCAAGCTCTCTTCTGTCCATGGGATTCTCCAAGCAAGAATACTGGCGTGGGTTCCCATGCCCTCCTCCAGGGGATCTTCCTGACCCAGGGATCAAACCTGCATCTCTTACACCTACCTGCATTGGCAGGTGGGTTCTTTACCACTAGCACCACCTGGGAAGCCCCAGATTAGGTACACCTGCTGGGTATTTCCATTCCCTTGTATTTCCTTATATACAAACACTCGTACTATTTTATTAAACTATTTTTCTACCACTGCACATAGACTTTGGGCTCCATGACAGCATGATTTCAGTGTCAATCTTTTTTGCCAATTCGTATCTCACACACTATAGTTAATCCATATTTTCTGATGGAATTATATCCCCAACACCTCACACAATTTTGTTTGGTAAAGAACTGCTGATTGAAATGTCCCAAGTCCTCATTGATCTCATCTTCATCAAGCCCATGGATAATACAAATGGTTCTCTCTGGGTTTTACCTATTATTTCAATGCATAATAAAGATGTTGGCTTGAATTACAACTAGGCAGTAGTTACCTCAAATCGGGGTACATCCATTTCAACTTGCCCTCTTAGCAATGGGGTTTGTCTGGGAGTCTCACGGATCATCACACTCCATCTGAGATGAAATTTAAAGACAAATATTTAGGGCTCTGTTTCATTAAAGGGTGGCATCAATGCTTCATATGTCATGAAAAAGGTCAAAATATTTATGTGGTGAGTCATGATGTGTTGTAGGGGATGCCCAAGTTATCTCAGGTCACTTGATCTCAAGGTATACACCAAGAGGGTCCTCTGCCTCATGACTTCTCAAGGCCAGTTTGACGGAAGGAATTCTACCACAGGGTTCTCAGAGAGCAGCACTTCCCATGCAATGATAACTACCAAGATCACCTGAGGTGCTTTTTTAACATACACATACCAGGGCCCTACTGAAGACCTACTGAATAAGAATATTTGTGCTAGGGCCCGGCTTGGTACCTTGAAAAGGCTCCCAAGGATAGTCTTATTAGCAGCCATAAATCAAATAGAAACCTCACAGAAAATCTTTCTTCTCAGAAGATTAGAGGGCAATATTCTCTCTTTTCTAGGGCACAAATAATCCAGGCCAATTGTTTATGAATCCTCTTTTTTAAATTCTTTGAGAACTGGATGAAGCTATAGAACTATAGTGTTTTATACAATCTTAGAATAGAAAGATGGAAACTTTCCCAAGGAAAAACTATGCTTACACAGATAATTAGCTATGTAATATTAAGGAGGTTCAAGAACTCTTGAAATTTACTAATGGGGGTTCCTGCTTTAGGATCTTTTAAGTTTGAAGAGGGGCTTCAGTGATGTTTAAAGGATACATGGTAGATCCTTTTTTCTTAATAAACAAGATCCCCCAAATTTCCCTGCACTGGAGCCAGAAAAGCAATGAGGCTCTGTGAAGGAGTTTAGAACATCCCTGATTGAGATAATATAACTGAGAGTAACTGGCAAGGGACTGGAAGAGCCACAATGACCTGATCTTTCAGCCACTCACCTGTCTAGAATCCTCACACCAGCTTGCTCTACTCTGTTGAGGATGTTCAGAGGTGACTTGTTTTTGTTCCAGAATGCACCCCAGCCGAGGACACGGGCCAGATCATTACCAGTTCCAAGAGGGATGACTGCCAGCTGACACTGCAAGAACAATACCAGGCACCCTTTTCAGACAATCCTACCAAGATCCACCCATAAAAGGACCCAGAGGGTACTTTTTGGGAAAGAATGTGGTCTCAACGTCAGTGGCAATAAAGGACTTGTGATTTTAGGAAGTGTAATAGGAAGATGTTTGAAATTGAGTGAAATTTTCCCTAAGTGGTTGGGTCCCACTCTTGGCAATACAGAATTTTCTCAGTAAGTGGAAATGTTGCTGGAATATGCCAATATTTGTAGTTATGCTTCTAAAAGAGAAACATAGCCACAAATTTTTATCTAGGCTGGTCCAAGGAGATGAGGTGCCTCAGTGAGACAAAATTACTGCAATCAGACGAGTAGGGGGCTACTTAGGGAGAGCGAGGTGAGGTAGAGGTAGAGGAACATTCTGCTACACTTGAGACTCAGCGAAGAAAATAAGTGGCCTCAGGAAGGGTAGGGAATGGGTGTTGAACGCTGCCTGATGCCACTTCTTTTTTGCTTGCTCTCCTCCCCTTCAAATCTTCATCTGGGGGCTTGGGGAATAGAGCATTGCTCATTTTTTCTGCTAATTTCTTCTTTTCTCCTTCCTATTGATAGACCCCAAAATGGTATAGATTTAGATTGGGAATCTACCAGTCAGGTTGACTGTGACACCAGTGGGAAACATACATTCTATAGACAAAGAGAGTAAAGACGGGGACGTCATGGGATAAGCAGCTCCATACTCCTAGTCTCTCTAGCGATGGTTAAACCAAATGAGCTAGGGACTCAACTGTTCATGTAATCCAAAGGCATCAATCAGAGATAAGACCCAGTTAACGCTGCCATCTCCACCACAAACCACCACACGAAAGCGAGCAAAGTTCTTGAACATGCAGAGCCTGGAAAGAAGAAGGGAAAGGGCAGTCATTTCATGAACTGACAAGTTTTAAAACTTTCCTACAATGTGCCAGGAGCTAAGGACTGCTCCTTCTGCACTCTGCTATTAGGTTACCTGTTTCCTTTTCCTTAACCTCTATCTCTCTGTGTATTTAAGATCATAGGAAATGCTCCCACAGGCAATCCTGGAGAGCAGGCCTTGCCTTGACCCACATTTTTGTTGGCTCAACCTTGTTCTGTAAGTTACTAGTGGCCTAGCCAAATCTACTTGCTGAGGCCTAGGAAGAATGTCTTGCACAGTTGCCAGTGGGTTCACAGAAACCAGGGCTGAACATCCAGATGGTCTCTAAATAATATAGCCCTCTAGTAGAGATATATCTACTTTGCCCCAGGAAAAAGAGTGAATGACAGGAAAGGTGTATAGTAATATCAGTTTTCCTCCTCCTCTGAAGTCAGGAGAGATAGTTTTGCCTTTCCCAACTGGAAAAGATGAAGCAAATCTGAGAGCAAGACATAGGCTTGAAAGGATTTCTGGAGAGGGCTAAAAGTCCTCTAGCCAGCCAACTCAAGATGTTCTGGAGTTGTGTTTTTGTCCTGTCTTGAGAAAATAGATCTTTCCTGCCAAGGTACAAGAACTAATTCCAGGAAATCTATCCTACTCTAGAATGTGTAGAGAGGGGGATCATTTCTATATGCCCAACTACATCCCTTACCCTATGCTTACCCGGCTTCAGGTCCACCCTTTGACAGGTCAAACACTTGAGATGGGTTAAGGTACTGCTTGAATTTCCGGAGGAAGACGATCCCTTGATGATCGCCGCTTTTGGAGTTGATGAAGATGAGAAGGGGGCATGAACAGGCTGAAGACCAATCAAGATTCCAAAAGTCTGGAGATACTACTAATTGGCCTAATAATACACACAACAGAAAGAAAAGAAAAGAAAAAAAGAAAAGGGCCATTGAGATGACTTAACATCAAATTTTGCAGACTTTTAAAAACAGCTTTATTGAGATATAACATATACAAAGAACTGCATATATTTAATGTGTACAATTTAATGAGCTTAGACATATGTAAACACCCATGATACCATCACCACCATCAAGATAACAGGCATCTAATACCTCCCACAGCTTCCTTGTGCCTCTGAGACTGAAGAACAGGAGGGAAGTCAGATGCAACCCAAAGGGGCTTTCATTAAAAAAAAAAAAAAGAAACAACCAGCTGGTCTTTGCCCAGCTGTTGCCAGGTAACCAATATTTCCTAAGTAACTACTACATACCAATCATCATGCTAGACACTTTTAGGGTTCTAGACCTTGCCCTCAAGCTGGGGAGACAGACATACACAAAAGTGTATTGTAACACAAAGAATAAAAAATTGGTACCACAACCAAAGATCAATAAAATGCCAAAGGGAAACTAAGGAAAGAGAAGACTGAGAACTTAGGAGAAGGATCAGCACACCTAATGAGTACTAGCTCAGTGAGTGATAGCTCAGTAGCTACACTGAGAAGATATAAGGTCAGGAAAGATAGGTAGGAAAGGCTGCCTTTCAGCCAGGAACTAATAACAGAAGATATCAACGTGGGGGGTGAAGCAGAGCGCTTTAATTGCTCCTCTAAGGCTCTGGTAGAGCAATCTAAGTTATCATATCAACTTTCAGGGGAAACAAGACTATAGGGAAATTGTCTGGACAAGACAGAAGCTTTTAATAATCCCCAATAGTAAAACTCCCCATAGAGAAATGGAGTTATAGCAGTCTAAATTGCCAAAGCCTGCCAGCTCATGCTGAGTCGTAGAGTCTGTTGGCAGGGAGACAGGCAGTGAGCAATGGCCTCATAGGAGATGCTAGACAAATTGTGAGCCCTCAAACCTCTGAGCTCATGGCTTTGCAGGGATTCCCCAGCAAAAATAAGTGCAAAGAGGAAGAAGGATGTGGGTTGCTCCTGAATGGTGTGGGCCAGTGGGAGAGAGGCAGGTTGAAATGTCCCATTTGTTGTAGCCTAGATAAAAAGGAGCCTGAAGGAAGACTATGACTCAAGCAGATTTTGTGGCTATTTTACCTGGAAAAGTCTAAAGCAAGCTTCCTCTATGGGCCAAGTTCTACTCACTGGCCAGTGGAACTTGAAGGCATCCTGAACCAGTTAGGCTGTCATGCACCAAATTTTCAGGGCTTGCCAGGGCTCATAACTACATGAAGAGTCTGATATGTCCCTTCAGTAGCATGGCCTGGAAGTAGTTATCCTCCTCAAACACGTTATCCCTTTTTAACACTTTTTTTTTTACAAAAAATATGTTAAAATAATGGTAGTTAACACATTCATTCATTCAACATATATGTATTGAGGGCATTCTTTGTGCTTGTCCTTGTTATGTTCTGATATATAATGATAGACAAGATAGAAACAATCTTTGCTCTTGTGGAACTTATATTCTAATATAAGGATATAGACCATAACAAATAAATATAGAAAATAATGCGATATGAAGAAAAATAAAGCAGGAAAAGGGGATGGAGACTGAAGGGGATGTTATTTTAGACAAGATGGTCAGGAATGGTTCCTCTGGGGAGATGACATTTGAGATTAGATTTGAATGAAGGGAGATAGTAAGCAAAGCAGATATCTGAGGGGAGAGTTTTTTAGGGGTCAGGGGGAAGATTAAGAAGCTACCCAGAGAAGGGATATGGCCTGGGATGTCTAGGGACAGTGAAGAGAAGAGCATGTCTACTGTGGAGTGAGGGAGAGAGGTGACAGGGACAAGATAAAATGACAATAAGATGTTAGATGAATCCTGTGAACAAGGTGACAAGATTACTACATGGATAGCAATGTGGGCTAGAATATAGCAATGTTAGGAAGATTCATAAGCAAGTAAATAATCATGTCCACAAGGTTGCTTTTGAGTAGGCTAATGTTAATTGTAAGGGAATGTCCTGCATTATTCAGCAATTTTAACTAATTAAAATAAAAATATAGAAGGCCAACTTGTCAACTTTGAAGTATCTACAGCTGGAGGGAGAACCACTGGATGACGGAATCAAGATTGACAAATGACCTTAACAAGCAGTTGGGTCAAAGTCAAATAGCTGAAAAGGGGATAAATATGAAGCTTGGCCTTTAGGCCCAAGGGCATAAATTGCAGCAGAACAGGACAACAGGAACTTGGCTTGGCAGCATCAAAGTGTGGAAAGGGCTTAGGGGATTTACTTGACTTTAAGCTCCAGATGAGTCAACAGTCTGAAAGAGCCTTTCAAAAAAGAGCTCATGCTTCTTTGAGCTACATTAATATAATCACAGCACCCCAAACCAAGGAGCCAACAGTCACTCTCAAACTTGTTCAGTTCATACCACAAAAGGATGTTAAGGTTGGCTTCCTGTTCCCCTTCCTGTATTTTAAAATCCTCTTTTACAAATGTTAACTCCTCATTTAACCCTCATAAGGCATCCAAGTACAAATTTATTCCCTATTGGCAGAAAACAAATGGTACACAAGGCAAAGAGAGGTTAAGTAACTGGTCCAAAGTCACACAGTTAGTACATGATGGAGCGTGCTCCCAGGACTAGTAGTATCAGCATCATCTGGGGATGTGTTAGAAATGAAAACTCTTGTGCCCTACTCAGCTCTACTGAATCAAAAGCTGTGGGGCAAGGACTGGGGCCTAGAAATCTGTGCTTTAACAAGCCTTCCAGATGATTCTGATGCATTCTCAGATTTGACAAATACTGCATATGAATTTTGCCCCCATGTGAATCAGGGATTCTGTCTTAGTTATATCCTATTCTCTACATTGTTCATCACTGAGCCTTACATACACTTGGTATTCAGTAAATGTATTAATTAATTCATGCAACAAATCCTGACTGTGCATATGCCATGTATCCAGGTTTAAGTGCTAGTGGTACAAGAGCTCCCAGTCTGGAGTAGGAGACATTCATGTGATGAACTATAATGTAGTGTGGTAAGTGCTCTGAGCTATGTGTTCTGGGTTCATAGCAAAGAAAGTGATTTATTTGTCAAGAGAAATGGGGAGGGGAAATTACAGAAACCTTTAAACAGGAGATAAGAATTAACTTTGTTCTCACCCTCTAGGATGAGAGAAGAAACTTACCAAGTAGATTGGGTAGGAAAAAGGGGAAATTAGAAGACATTCTCAGAAATTAAGAGTTTGTTGACTGAATAAATAATGAAAGAATAGATGAGTGCTACTCAACAATGGCACCTGTTTCCTCAGGTGCCACCACTCTGGGATGCTGGAGAAGGGATTCCCTAGCTTGGCCAGAGGGGTTGGCCCAAATAATTTTTAATGATTTTATCATCTCCAAGATGGGTGGGACTTCCCAACAGGAGACCTATCCATTAAGGAGCATATCTGCCTAGACCAAGAAGCCAGAAAAAGTCAAGAAGATATGGAGGTTGTAAAAGATACTCCTAAGAAACCAAGTAATACATGCTAGAATGATGGGTTCTCAAGAGTGACATTCAGTTGGATCAAGACTGTAGATGACAAGGATGAAAGGCTAACTCATGGGGCATTAATATAAGTCACTACACAAAAGGAATGGCTTAGCATAGGTGCTTCTAAGCATAATATGACATTGGTGAAAAGCAAAAGGAAGCAGCAATGCTATTAGTTGACCATCTATAACAGGAATAAGAAATTATATAGGATGGGAAAAAACAAACTAAAAAACTCTAACTTCCACCAGGCCAGGAAACACAGAACCTGTTGGGCCAATTACAAAGAAGAGGTGGCAGCCCCTTAACACTTAATTGAGAGTGATTTATTAGATGCTGAAGTGGCTATCCTTCCTGAAAGACATCTTCCCCAGGTCCCTGTAGTGGTGAGCAGTCTCAGGACTTCAGATTCAGGACTTCATTGACTTTCACTAGGAGCCTGAGTACACTTGGCTGACTAGTTTGCTACTTTTCCTGTTCTATCAACCCTATCTTTCCCATAGTCCCTTTTTTCTCCTAGCCAATCAAGTATCTATTATGTACCAAGGCATCAGTCTCATGACCTCTCTAGTCACCTATCTTGTAGGTGAATCTGTGTGGATAAATATTTGAATAGATCTGAGATTATTATATGCATGCATCCCTGAGTGAGGGATACGTGCCTGAGCATGTAATCATGGGGACATATAAGTATGCTTGCCTGCAGAAAACTGTGTGAGTGGCTCATTCCATGTACCAGTGTCTGTCTGTATTTGTGTTAGGGTTAGGAAAGAAACTGGAAAAGACTAGAGCAGCTCACATATATGTATGTGCACATATGCTATGTCTAGTTCTAAACTGTTGTAATGATTACAGGAATCCTTCCCCCTTCTGTTCTCTAAGGAAACTATATACTCTTCTTTCTTTTCCTTTCTCTGCTCCCAGCTAATGTTGGGTTTTCCTTGGCAATGAAGTAGGCAGCAAGCAAACAAAATTATTTCATGGATTATCTAGTGTCTGGAAATCATGAAAAAGCTGAAATGATTTCTGATCATTTGGAAACAATTGTGACAGAGGCTACAAAGAACATCCCCACATACAGATACATCAACATTCACCATCCCAAAGGTCTAAAGAAAATCATGAGCTGTCTCTACACATAGGGGCTTCCCTGCTGGCTCAGCAGTAAAGAATCTGCCTGCAATGCACAAGACACAGGAGATGCAGGTCTGATTCCTGGGTCAGGAAGATCCTCTGGAGGAGGAAATGGCAACCCACTCCAGTATTTGTGCTGGGAAAATCCCATGAACAGAGGAGCCCGGTGGCCTATGGTCCATGGGGTCGCAAAGAGTAGGACACACTGAGCAACTGAGCACACAGGCGTGCTCTACACATTTGCACACTTGTACTTTCAGAAATGCTTGACTGGTTGACCAGAATAATTTAATTGCAGTCATTTCCCCCAGGCATTGCACCTTCCCTCCCTCCCCAGTGTATTTCTGAGATTAATGTTTAGCTACTCACCATCACCTTTGGGGTCGCTCAGGGCAGTGGGAGGAATGACTGATGATCGATGACTTCCAAACCAGCATTCCTTGGAAAACCGTCTCCTGCAGTCGTCATGCACCTGGAACGACAGGAGAAGAAAGAAAAAAAAAATACATGAGTGGGGTGAGAAAAGGATAACATAGAGCATCATTTTGTCTCAACTCCAAAATTTAAGTGCTCAGTACTCAAAACTCCCTTTTTGAGATTTGGTGCCATACACATACTCCTGACTCAATGTCTTTCTCCATTTTGAGTCTGCATCATCCCTGAATGTGGTTTCTGAACCCTGTTCCTTTCAAAGATGCCTTTCAGAAGATACTATTATAGGCACTGAGTAGATGCCAGTCCTAGGGCACATTTTAGTGGCCTACAGAATGGGGAGTTTATTTGCAGTATAAGAGTGCTAATCCTGATAAAATGTTATTATACTTCAAACCTTACAACAGTGATGTGTGTTAGGGAAGACATTATTAAATTTGTTTTAGAAATAAGAAAACCAAAGCTCAGAGAGGAAAAGGATTTTGCTCAAGGTCAAACAACTGGAAGGTAAAAAACCTAAGACTCGGCTACCTTCCCCACTAATGGCATACTTCCCAGATTTCTGATATCTTCAAGCATCACTTCCTGAAAAATTACACAGTTACTAGACGACATGAACCTGGCCTAATTAGGCAAAAGTAATTTTAAAAGGTCCAGAGGACAACCAGAGTTGTCTTATTTTTTAATGACAATATAACTGGAATAAACATTACATTAATTTCAGGTATACAACATAACGACCTGATATCTATATACATTGTGAAATTGTCACCAGAGTAAGTCTAGTTAAATCAATCATTATACATAGTTATATTTTTTCCTTGTGATGAAAACTTGAGATTTACTTAACTTTAAAATTTTTATTTTATACTGGGATATAACTGATTAACAATGTTGTGTTAGTTTTAGGTATACAGTGAAGTGATTCAGTTATACATGTACATGTCTATATTCTTTTTTCATGTTCTTTTCTCATTTAGATTATTATAGAATATTGATCAGAGTTCCCTGTGCTGTTCAGTATGTCACTGATGGTTACTAGATTTACTTTCTTAAGGAACCCTAACATATTACTAAAGGAATCCATCAAAACACAAGAAACCAAGAGGAGAACTACAGAGGAAACCAACAGAGAACTACAAAAACAACCAGAAAACAGTGAACAAAATAGAAGTAAGTAAATACCTATCAATAATCACTTTAAATTTAAATGGACAAATTCTCCAATCAGAAGAAATAGAGGGCTGAATGGATACCAAAACAGGGCACATATATGTTGCCGACAAGAAACTCACTTTGGATCTAAAGGCACACACAGACTGAAAGTGCAAATGGATATTAAAAGAAAGCCATAGTAGCAATACTTATATCCAACAAAACAGACTTTAACACAAAGACTGTAACAAAACAAGGAAGGGCATTAAATTATGATAAAGGGGTCAATTCAACAAGAATATATAACATTTGTAAACATTTATTCACTCAACAGAGGAGCACCTAAATATGTAAAGCAAATATTAACAGAAATAACTGAAGAAAGAGACAGAAATACAAGAATTTTAGAGGACTTTAATATCCCAGTTACATCAATGGATACATCAGCCAACAGGTAGTTAATAAAGAAACACTGGTCTTAACAAATTAGATTACCTTAACACATGAGATGAGATTACCTTAATTGATATACATGGAACATTCCATAAAAAAGCAGCAGAATACATATTCTTTTCAAGTGTACATAGAACATTCTCCAGATACATCACATGCTAAGCCATAAAACAAAGTCACATTAAATATAAGAAGATTCAAATCATGGTAAACATCTTTTCTGAAAACACCACTATGAAACTAGAAATCAACTACATGAGAAAAAAAAAATGGAAGAAACACAAACATAAGGACACTAAACAACATGCTGCTAAATAACCAATAGGTCAATAAAAAAATCAAAATATACTTTGAGACAAATGAAAATGGAAACACACCTCTAAAATCTATGTTGTTGTATTCAGTGTTAAGTCGTGTCCAAATCTTTACAACCCCAAGGTCTGTATCACGCCAGGCTCCCCTGTCCTCCACTGTCTCCTGGAGTTTGGTCAAATCCATGTTCATTGAGTTGGTGATGCTATCTAACCATCTCATCCTCTGTTACCCTCTTCTCCTCCTGCCTTCAATCTTTCCCAGCACCAGGGTCTTTCCCAGTGAGTCAGCTTTTCGCATCAGGTGGCTGAAGTATTGAAGCTTCAGCTTCAGCATCAGTCTTTCTAATGAATATTCAGGGTTGATTTCCTTTAGGAAGGAAACAGCAACCCACTTCGGTATTCTTGCCTGGGAAATCCCATGGACAGAGGAGCATGGCAGGCTATAGTCCATGGGACTGCAAAGAGTCGGACACAACTGAGCGGTTAACACACTGACTGGTTGATATCCTTGCAGTCCAAGGGACTCTCAAGAGTCTTCTCCAGCACCATAGTTTGAAAGCATCAATTATTTGGCACTCAGCTTTCTTTATGGTTCAACTCTCACATCCATACATGACTACTGGAACAACCATAGATCTGACTATATGGTCCTTTGTCAGCAAAGTGATGTCTCTGCTTGTTAATACACCGTCCAGGTTTGCCATAACTTTCCTCCCAAGGAGCAAGCCTTGTTTTAATCTCATGACTGCATTCACCATCTGCAGTGATTTTGGAGCCCAAGAAAATAAAATCTGTCACTGCTTCCACTTTTCCCCCTTCTATTAATAGTTGCCATTGAGTGATAGCACCAGATGCCATGATCTTAGTTTTTTTAGTGCTGAGTTTCAAGCCAGCTTTTTCACTCTCCCTTTTCACCCTCATCAAGAGACTCTTTAATTCCTCTTAACTTTCTACCATTAGAGTGGTACTATCTGCATATCTGAGGTTTTTTATATTTCTCCTGGCAATCTTGATTCCAGCTTGTGATTCATCCAACCCAGCATTTTGCATGATATATTCTGCATACAAGTTAAATAAGCAGGATGACAATATAAAGCCTTATCATACTCCTTTCCCAATTTTGAACCGGTCAGTTCTTCTAAGTCCGGTTCTAACTGGTTTTTTTCCTTCTTTTCTTTTTTTTTTTTTTTGATCTGCATACAGATTTCTCAGGAGGCAGGTAAGGTGGTCTGGTATTCCCATCTGTTTAAGAATTTTCCACAGTTTGTTGTGATCCACACAGTCAAAGGCTTTAGAGTAGTCAATGAATCAGAAGTAAATGTTTTCCTGGAACTCCTTTGCTTTCTCTATGATCCAATGAATGTTGACAATTTGATCTCTGATTCCTCTGCCTCTTCAAAACCCTGCTTGTACATTTACAATTTCTTGGTTCACGTACTGCTGAAGCCTAGTTTGAATGATTTTGAGCATAATCTTGCTGGCATGTGAAATGAGCACAGTGTAGGGTAGCTTGAGCACTCTTTTGCATGTCCGAAAATCTATGGGTCACAGCAAAAGCAGCCCTAGGAGGGAACTTTATAATGATACAGGTGTACTCCAAGAAACAGAAATCTCAAATAAAGAATCTAAATATCCATTTAAAGGAACTATAAAAAGAAGAATAAGCAAAGCCCAAACTTAGGAGAAGGAAGAAAATAATAGACCATAGAGGAAATAAATGAAATAGAGTCTAAAAAATACAAAGGATCATTGAAAGTAAGAGTTGGTTCTTTAAAGAGACAAGCAAAATCAAGAAACTTATATTTAGTTAGGCTGATCAAGAAAAAAAAAGGAGCACCAAAAAAAAAAAAAAGAGAATCAGAAATTAAAAAGGAAAAATTACAACTTTACACAACAGAAATACAAAGGATTATAAGAGAATACTATGAACAATTATATGCCAACAAATTAAACAACCTAGAATAAATGGAAAAACTTCTAGATCATATAATCGCCCAATACAGAATCATGAAGAAACAGAAAATCTGAATAGACTCAACTCATTACTAGTAATGAAATTGAATCAGTAATCAAAAACTCCCCCATAGAAAAATCAAGGTCCAGATGGCTTCATGACGAATTCTACCAAATATTTTAAGAAGAGTTAATATCTATCACTTAAAAAAAAATGACAAAGGAATACTTCCAAACTCGTTCTATAGGGCCACCATTATCCTGATACCAAAACCAGACAAAAACACTACAAGAAAGAAAATTACAGGCCAATATCTTTGATAAATATAGATGCAAAAATCCTCAACCTAACCATAGCAATGGGGTACAAAAAAGAAATAAAAGCATCAAAATAAGAAAAGCAAAAGTATAAGTCACTATTTTCAGATGACAGAACACTGTATAGAGAAGACACCAAAGACTGCACCAAAAATGTAGTAAAGCTAATGAATTAAGAAATTTGCAGATACAAAATTAATATACAGAGACCTGTTGCATTTCTATACACTAATGATGAACTATCAGAAAGAGAAATGAAGAAAAGAATCCAATTTATAATTGCATCAAAAATAATAAAATACCTAGGAATAAATTTAACCAAGGAAGTAAAAAGACTTGTAACCTCAAAACAATCAGAAAATGATTAAAGAAACTGAGGATGACACACCAAAATATGGAAAAATACACCACAGGCATGAACTGGATGACTCAATATTGTTAAAATGTCCATACTCCCCAAAGTAATCAACAGATTAAATGCAATCCCTATCAAAATATCAATGGCATATTTCACAGAACAAGAAAAAAAAAAAAACAGTTCTTAAAACACAAAAGACTCCTAATAGCCAAAGCAATCTTGACAGAACAAAACTAGAGCTGTTACACTTCCATACCACGAAGCTATAGAATTCATAGCAGTATGGAACTGGCACAAAAACAAGACACACAGATCAAGGGAACAAAGCAGAGAGTCCAGAAATAAATCCACACTCATATGATCAGCTAACCTATGACAAAAGAGACAATAAGAATATAAATGGAAAAAAAGACAGCCTCTTCAATAAAACTGGACAGCTGTATTGAAAAGAATGAAACTGGACCACTTTCTTACAGATATATGAAAATA